CACTCTGACTCTTTCTTTCTTTCCTGGAGCCCTCCCTCCCCTCACCTGGCTACTGTACTCACAGCCTGGGATGCAACTGCTATCCTGGGCCTTCTCCTTGCCAGTCTCCTATGTTGGATCCCCTTTCTCTTGGGTCCCATATCTTTGTAGTTTACAATTTTGCTAAAATACATGGAATTTCTCATTAGTAATACTAGGTGCTAGAAGACAGTGGAGTAATTTTCATCACAGACTTCCATGGTGAAAGTCTATCTTGGAAAAGCTGTCATTGAAATGTAAGGGTAGAATAAAAACACTCTAAAAGGAGATGTAAATATAGTCTTATACTGAGGATTGGACTAATGAAGAGATTATAGGTTCAAGAAAAAGGAAATTACCAAAGAACAGGTGGAGGCTGACCTTGAAAAGAATTAGAGGAAAAAAGATCTTCTCATATCACCTTCCCTCCCCCAAATTAAGAAAGCTAAAATCTAAGCCATCAGAGATAACTTTGATGGTCACATCCCTTTAACTTAAAAATATTATATATTATTAGGTGTGAACCTCGAATATCTGAGACAGGTCTTGGTTAATTTAGAAAGTTGATTTTGCCAAGGTTGAGGACGCGTGCCTGTGACATAGCCTCAGGAGATCCTGACATCATGTGCCCGAGATGTTCAGGGCACGGCTTGATTTTATATTTTAGGGAGATATAAGACATCAATCAATATATGTAAGATGAATGTTGGTTCTGTCCAGAAAGGTGGGACAACTCGAAGCAGGGAGGGGACTTCCAGGTCACTGGCAGGTGAGAGACAAATGGTTGCACTCTTTTGAGTTTCTCATTAGTCTTTTCAAAGGAGGGAATCATATATTCATTTATCTCAGTGATCAGAGGGATGACTTCGAATAGGATGGGAGGCAAGTTTGCCCTAAGTAGTTTCTAGATTTACTTTTCCCTTTAACTTAGAGATCTTGGATCCCAAGATTTATTTTCCTTTCACATAGGTCACTGTAATTTTTCAATCTCAATTTCCTCATAAGATTTCCAAGTATTTCTGTAAATGATACTTTAACTTTATATTACAAGTGATGCCACAGTTCTAGAAGACTTCTGACACATAAGGATTATGTTTTCTGTTCAAGAACAAAAATAGCATTTGTGAAAACTCACTGCTTTCTTGACTTTTGTTGACTTTGTATTGTCTTTATCTCTGCCTCTTAATATGTTCACTAATGTGCTGCAGGTGTGAACAGACATTAAACTCAGTATGGGAATACATTGATTAAATCAAAGTAAAAGCTTGAAGGCAGAAAGAATAACATTAAACTGTTAAATACTTTTTTGCCATTTAAAAATACATTGACAGTTAATATTTACTGAGCACCTAGTATGTGCCAAGTACTGCCCGCCCATAGACACATGGATAAAAGGCATTACCTATGTCTTCACAGAGCTTACAATATAGAGGAAAAACAAACAAGTATATAATTACAATACAGAATACTGAAGTGTCAGGAAAGAAAATGCACAAACTGCTTTGAGAAGATAGATAAAAAGGGAAACACGTAAGAAGTTAAATACATATATACACACACACACCCACAACTTAATCTATAGTATTAGGTCACGATAATCTGCAATACTCCTTTAAAGAAGATTATTCTTCTCATATTTGAGGCTCAAAAGGATTAAGCAATATACTGGATGTCACACATCGAGTGGCAGAGCTGGAACTGGTCTTAAACCACGATGTCCTGATTCCAAATAATACACTATGCTCCAAAAGAGATTTATTTTCCTGAAAGCATGTATTAGAAGACAAGATTTTACTTTCCTTCAACAAGATACATAATAAACATCAGTGAGATTTTTGGTTTGTTTTGTTAGGGCATTAAAAGGTAAATTTTTCTTTTTCTTGAACAGACTACCCTTTTATTTTGTTTTCTTTACATTTATATGGCATCAGATGCCATTGCCCATATACATTAGTATCATATTAATTTTTTTACATATATATTTTTTAAAGAGAGACAGGGTTTTGCCCTGTTGCCCAGGCTGGTCTTGAACTCCTAGCCTCAAACAATTCTCCCCATACCCAGCCTTCCAAAGTGCTAGGATTACAAGTATGAACCCACCATGCCTGGCCCAACATTACTTTGGCATGCTCAAAAACCTTCATTTGTTCACTATGAACTATCAAGCTTATTTCAAAGGCTTCAATCCAATATCCCCAGCTCCTAGCTAGTGGTCTTCTAGGTGTTCATTTCGTACACATTAGAAGAATGAAAAATAACACACCCACTATTCTAGTGCGACAGGAGATTGTGTAAAGTAAATAAGATCCGAGAAATGGACAAATCAAAAAAATCCTAGCTAAGTTGAAGTTAAAGATAAATTTTACCAGGTTAGCCACAGAGAAGTCACGTCCAGGTACAGCACCAAGACAGGGAGGCTGGATTCAGAGCTGTATCTCAGGGAGGGGTGAGATGTGCTCTAAGAGAAAGAAGCTCACATTCGTTATGCCCCAAGCCACTTTGAAGTGTTGGACTAAAAAGAGAAAGTTCCTGCCTCTTTAACTAATCAGACGTAGAATGATGAATTTTTTATTCCTGCGTATAAAACCAAATTTATCACCTTGGCTCTAACTAGCACCTCCTCCCAACTTCCTGCCCCATCCCAGGCACAGAAGTTTAAGTCATGATTGCTTCATCTTGTCCATTTCCCACTTTTCTTCTTATCCAGTTAGTTTGCAAGTGTTAGAGACTCTGCCTCCTTGATGTTTCAGACATCTGGCCAATTCTTCCCTCCCCTGGATCCTTGGTTGAAGTTCTCCTTACCAATTTTCCCTGAACTCTCAACTGATTTTCCCACCTTCTCTCCAGAAACACTACTAAACAGAGATTTATCAACATGACTTTGTTCCCCTTTTTCTTTTTTTTTTTTCTTTACATTTATATGGCCTCGGATGCCATTGCCCGTATACATTAGTATCATACTAACTTTACTTTTTTTAACATAAATATTTTTTTAAATAGAGATGGGGTCTTGCACTGTTGCCCAGGCTGGTCTTGAGCTCCTAGCCTCAAGCAATCTTCCCCACACCCAGGCTTCCAAAGTGCTATCATTACAAGTGTCAACCACCACGCCTGGCCCAACATTACTCTGGCATGCTCAAAAACCTTCAGTTGCTCACTATGAACTATCAAGTATATTCCAAATACTTCAATCCAATATCTCCAGCTCCTAGCTAGTGGTTTTTGTCTGGATTTCCTGCCTCTCTCATCCCTCCTCAGTCTCCTGAAGTGACCCTATTCTCTAAGCAAATTAAATTATTATTATTCTCCCAGACAGGTACTTTGCATCCTGTATCTGCACCATGGTATCTGCATTTTCTTTAACTTGGAACGCCCTTTTATTTTTCGGGGTCTAGTTCATAGGTTCCCTTATGCCCTTATCCTCCTGATGGAAATCATTTCTCCCTTTTCTGATCTGGCCTACCATTTTGTTTTTACGGGTTCCTGTAAACCCTCATCACCAACAGATCTGTGCCACAGTCAGTCACGTACTAAGCACATCTTGTACAGTCGCTCTGAGGAAGAATTCCAGTTCATCCTCTTCCTATGTAGCATTTGCCAATACCCATGATACACCATGGCCAATTTCAAGGCATTGAGAGGCCTTGAAAGTGAGAGGCTTTGAGGCATTGAGAGGCTGTGGTGAAAGGTGATAGGAGCTGACCCCAGCACACTACTGTTTGTTTCTTTGTAAAATGAGGAAATAAAACATTTAATGTGGAATTCTTATAAAGATTAAATGACAAAGTAAATGTAAATTACCTAATACAGCCTGGCGTAAACACTCCATGTCATTACCTCTGCTGTTATTGCTTCTGTTATTGCTGCTGCTGCTACACTATTATTGTTAATAATGGTATTTATACCTATGCCTATTCCTATTATTATTTCTATCACTAGGATTAATGGTAATATCTCCCTCCTAAACTGTAAACTCCTTGAAGGAAGAAAAGGAAACCAGTATCTATTGAGCATCTACTATTGTTCAGGCACAAGACTTTAACCATCTCTCAAATGTCTAAGAGTTTCATATATATTTTTTTCTCAGTTAATTACAATCACCCTGTGAGACAGTGTCTATAATTACCTCCAGTTTGTAAATGACAAACAGAGACGTAAAGAGTTGAAGTCACTTGTTCAAGATTACATAGATAGTAAGTGGTAGGGCTGAAACTCACTAAAGTTTGTCTGGCTTTGCAATCCATTCTTTGATCAAACATATTGATACTCAAGATTTAAGTCTGACGTTTAGGTAGCAAACTTACCTTTGCCAAAAAATCTTCTTCCTGTGAATTATTTTTTTATGGGTCCAGGGAAAACTACAGGATTTTCCTAACTTCCTAAAATGCTGTACAAAGGCAAAGTCATAAGAAAAAACACTGAGTAGCAATTACCTGCAACTTCTTATCAAAGAAGAATGTTAGCTACATAATTTCACTTTAAATACAAGCTTTTTATAAAGAACGAGCACAGATTTAATGCAATTATAAATGTCACATAAAACGAGAAATTAGTAGGCATGTGGAACAAGTCTCAGAAATCAAAATTGATCATTCTTGTCTAACTGTAGTCAGAGAAATTGCCCACAGACTGGGCTATAGTTTCATTAGCTTGATTAAAAGTGAAAACTGGAGGAAGGGTAAAGTAGGTCAAAAACTTCCTGACTCCTTGAGGATTAAAACGGCTCAAGCCTGTAATCCCAGCACTTTGGGAGGCCGAGACGGGTGGATCACGAGGTCAGGAGATCGAGACCATCCTGGCTAACACGGTGAAACCCCGTCTCTACTAAAAAATACAAAAAACTAGCCGGGCGAGGTGGCGAGCGCCTGTAGTCCCAGCTACTCCGGAGGCTGAGGCAGGAGAATGTCGTAAACCCAGGAGGCGGAGCTTGCAGAGAGCTGAGATCCGGCCACTGCACTCCAGCCTGGGCGACAGAGCGAGACTCCGCCTCAAAAAAAAAAAAAAAAGAAAAAAAACATTTACTAGATACTAAGTATGGGTGAAAGGATCAGTAAGAAACTATCTGCCAGCCTTGGCGGATAGGGAAAGAAAGACAGGGCACCCTGAACTGCAAAAATTGATTATAACAAGAATGAAAAGCACAGAGGAATTGGGCATGAACTCTAGAGCAAGGATTTCTAAAGTGAAAATGCCTTTATTTATGACCCAAGCTAGGGAATTCATAGTTAGAGGGTCAGCATGTATATAGGTAACACACGGCAAGTTTTATTATGGGACTGACCAAGTTTTTCAAACCCAGGGCTCTTAATTATAATTCAAGCTTACTACCAATTTTTTTTTGCTCTACTACACACACACACACACACACACACATCCCTACCATTATACAAAATGAGATATTGTTCCTAAACTTCAATTAAGTTACTGTATACCTTCCCCTCACCCACATCCACCCCATACTTCCATTTATGGCTCCCAGTTTCATTTAGAAAACAGCACTCTCACATAAACTGGTAGGGTGGTGGGAAGGAGAGGGAAAATAAGTAGAAGTGGTGGGAAAGGGAAGATTTCAGAGAACTGGCAATGGCCTGAGTGAACATGATAACAGCTGAACCTTTAGGCTCAGGAGTGCCACCATTTTTGAGGAACTTGGTGGAGAAGGAATTCATAGAAAGATAAATAATGAAAATTAGAATAAGCAAGAGTGGTGACCATCTTTTCTAAGAAATCTCCATGGAAATTAAGTATTATTTTTCTTCTTCTGTTCAATTTCTTAAAAATGTAATACTGTAATCCCTCAGTTCTGCATACACCATCAACATATTAACAGCTTCTCTGAGGAGTGAGGGAGGCCTACTATGAGAACATAAATAAGTAAACATTAATTTTTAAGATATATATTATTTCAGAAAGGTTAAGTTGGGAGGAGGGGTGTGGTGAGGCAGGTGAGGGTTAGGTAGGGGAGTGGAAGTGAGAGTACAACTCAAAATTCAGCAAATCTAGTACCTGGACTACCTCTTCTGGCCCTGCTGAGAGTTGGCTGCCTCCACAGATGGGTGGCTTTGGGTGGGCTGGTGAGTTGATGACCACAAAAGGTCCATGAAGCTTCCATTCACCTAATGACTGTCCCAGAAGAAACTGATGGATAGAACCTCTGTAGTAAATGAAAATTAAGCTATCACTGTTACTTATGGAAAAAGCTTCAAAAATTCACTTAGAATAGAGACTTTATGGAGATCTTAGCTATTACAACAAAACATGACAGTGCATCAACATTCAATCAGAATACAGCTCAATGTCATAGGGCTATTCCACCTCCCAATCAAGGTTCTCTCTTGAGAAACAGAAACAAACCCACTTAGATTAGGAGTTAAAATCATTATGTACAGAGTACAGAAGAAATATAATAAAAACTTAGTAAATGAAAACAACTTCCGTTCAGAGAACTGTGTCCCCTTTCAGCATATAAAACCATACTACCCACCCTGTCCAAGACAGACCCCTAGTGATGGACTTTGGTCAGTAGCACAAACATACACAAACAAATCCAGGAATGTTGAAAGTGTATTTACAGAAGCACTAAAACTTTTTTCTTTATGGGATTCTGCAATGGGAATATTGTTGTTTGTGAACCATACACATCGAAATACACGAACAACTTTTTACTCCAATTTACACCCGTGACCACCTGTGTCATTCTCTGGGGTTTTGCACTGTTTACAAAAGGATTTTAATTCCTAAGTAAAATGGGTTTGTTGCTATTTCCCAAGCGAGAACCTTGATTGGGAGGTGGAATAGCATTATGACATTAAGTTGCATTCTGATTTAATGTTGATGCACTTTACGGTACACTGTCATGTTTCACTGTACTATCTAAGATCTCTACAAAGTCTCTCTTTTAAGTGCATTTTTGAGGCTCTTTCTATAAGTAAAAATGAAAGTTTAAGAAGTTTAGCTCTTAAAACCATGACACTACTGTCTGCATTTACCTCTCTTAAAGGCATTAGACCAAATCAGAACATTAAAACACCCCGTCTTCTTATATGGAGTCACAAACAGAGTCGATTGACTGCTTCTATAGAGATGTCATTTGAGCTTTGCTAAGTAGTACTTGCATTAACCATGAAAAGCTCAGGAAAACTGGAATAATGAGGAAAGAAATCAGAGCAAGACCATAAAAGCCCAGCTCATTTCAAGGAAAAAGCAGTAACCATCCCTCCCCACTACATTTTAAATATCACAATGAATTTAAGTAACAAAATAAACAATTCACTGAGAGCACACTTTATGTACAACTTTAATTTCTTCCTACTGTGTTCATTACCAAGCTGTTTTCTTTCTTTAGGGAGGATGAGGGGGAAACTTTTAAAAGACTCATTTAACACAGAAGTCAATTTCCACTAATGTATTCTTCATGTGGCATATGTAGTCTTCCAAAGCAGATCTATATATACAAATACACATGTATCAGTATCTTCTTTTATAAGGACAACAGCAATTAGGCCACCCCAAACACATTATTGCTATTCATATCCTGTAGGGAAAAAACATGAATATGAGAACCACCTCACTTAAAATAAATGCAAACCGAGTAGTATTTCTGATAGAACTGTTTTGTAAAAAACACCTCTAATTGTGAAAAGAATAATGCAACTATTGTATAACCCAGCTTTCACCTTCTAGAAAGTTAGGCAGGGAGTCTTTTTCATGCATTCATCCCTGAGGAAGCAGAAATAAAGTGCTTTGCATCAACTGTTGCTATCAAGTTATGTAAGACAGAAAGAGTTGGTATGACACTGTGGTCTTTGTGACTTTGGGTGTGTGAAGGTACCAGTGGCTTTCAGAGAATCACCAAGGGTTCCCCAGGTCAAGATCCCACAGCCACCTATGTACGTGTTCAGTGGAGGGGAGGAAAGTAAGAATTTGCACTACTGTGTAGGAGGCCAAAGTAGAAAAGAGAGGGAGATGAAAACAGAGGCAACCTGACCGCCTAGAAAATATTCATCACAGATTTCAAAGAAGGCTTTTCTCCCTGAGCTCTTCAGATCATGCCTTAGGTAGGGGGATAGGGGGTTTTAATTGGCAGAAACACATGCCTAGTTTGTTAGAAATCGGGAATATAAAAGACACTACTTAAAATTCCTCAAATTTCATTTTGTACATAAAATGTAGCCAGTGGAAGCAGGAGAGGAGACATCTGCAGTACCACACATGCCTGCACACGCACTCTTAGATTCAAAGCAAGTTGCTACAACTAGCCAGAGAAAATAACAGACATGTGTGCTTAGGCAAAATATAGGTAAGAAACAAAGATATTAAAGGGAATACACACACACACACACACACACACACACATAGAGAGAGAGTGTGAGTGAGTTCTAGTTTTAATCAACGCAACCCACAAAATAATTTTCTCTACCATTGAAGAGTTTTCTAATAACTAGCCCTTCATTAAATCTCCTCAGATGGAATGCCAATGTTTAGTTATTACAGAATTAGACTGAGCCAGAATCTGGTACCAGACGGTACTTATCACAGATGTAGAGATCTGAAAAATAGCAGATATACATTATAAGCCCTTTCAGAATTCTGGTCCCAAAGGTGCCCATAAAATAGATATTTCTGGCTTAGCTACATGATTTTTACACATGACCTAGGTACTTGATCTGACTGTTCAAGTTCGGTTGGTACCTTAGTCATTTACAGGGCACTTTTGCCTGCCTGATCCCATCAGATTCTTGTGATGGTCCAGTGAGGTATGTGGAAGTATTATTGTCCCTGCTTAATAGATGAGGAAACCGAAATTCATACAAGTAAATAAGTCAGAGGTAATGAAGATAGAACCAGTAACCAAACTGCCTCTTAAGTCTAATGCACTTTGAGGAATTATAGATATGTTGTGTCTTACAATATACAGAATGTTGCTTTTATGGTTTACTAATGACAGTATTCTGGCAATGGCTTTTTTTTTTTTTTGGCAATGTCCTTTAGTCTGCCTTCTAGGTCTCTAAAACAGCACAGCTATGTCTCACTAATCTTTCTCATCAATTCATTTCCTGGGTTAAGTTCCTCCTTCCAGAACATCTCCCTGTAGACACGGATCAGAGAAACATGAACCGGGTTTCTCTGTTCCCAAGGGAAGATGTCCACCATCCAAAGAGAGAGAAAATAGCGAATATTTGGTAACCCACCTGCTAGCAGCACCGTTGTTCTTTATTAGCAAACACATTGCCCTCAATAAGGGGCACCTGGCTTGCTTTTTCTTAACCATCAATCTGCCTTCAGAGCTGGAGCTCGTAAGAGGCACAGCCTCCCATTCTGTTACAAAAATTCTACGGTCTCCTCAGCTACTTTCTCCTTATCATTTCTCATTAAAGTGATTTCTTATACAGAAATGAAATGGCATATTGTATTAAATAATTATAAAATATTTTAAAATTTCAATCATGAGTATTTGAGAGGAAGCTGAAACCAGTTCTGATGACGACAGGTGGAAGGTAGTAATTGAGTTAGCATCAATGCATTCACTTCAAACCACTTGTAGAAATGAAGTGTTATTTAGTTGCATGGAGCTGCAATCTCCAAATACACACATTTGTTCTCAGATGACAGCAGTTCTTCAAATTAACAGTGAAAATATTAAGCCAACGGAAGACATTTTGGTTGTTTTGACAGGTTGACTTGGTTATGCCATCTCATTAAACCAAGCCAAATAAGGGAAGAAAAGACAGATGAGGCCAAAGCCCAGGAGTGAGGTCACGAGCTAAATGTGACTGCATAGCAACAAAAGTTTGACTGAGAAAGATGTGTCCCCAGGGTAGAAGTCCCTTTGCCTAAATGAGTCCTTCAGGTCAAGAAAGGAAATTTGTTGACTACATTCTCTTAGCTTGCTCCCATAGGCAGGAGACTAATAGCACTTTAAAGTCTGTTGTGAAGGATATAATGATTAACTGATCATTTAAATCCTAGAAAGGTCACATTAGCAGCCCCTATCAGTGCTTCGGAGCCAAAGCAGCAGGGTGTGAAACTTGAAATCCACTACGAGCTCAGAAAATGATTAAACTGAGAAGTGATCCATGGCTGCTTATAAATGAAGCCCAAGATTCCTAGCATTATCAATAACAGCGTAGGCACAAGATCATTGTGGGTGACAAAAAAAAACAAAAAACAAAAAACAAACAAAAAAAAACAAAACAGGGTAGCTGGATTATCCTATTTTTTTAATAAGCAAAGAAAAGCAGTTGGGCTAACGGAAATATTAGTTATTAGCTCTATATTTGGTAAATGAATGATACTTTTAAGAGTTTAAGAGGCTGTCTGATCATAAATATTTCAAAAAGCACACTATTAATTCAAACCAATCAATAATACAGCATAACCCTCCGGCTAAGTTACTAGTGAGAAGAAATTTATTTATCAGTTTTATTCCCACCAAATCTATATCCAAAGGTTTGGGATTGATTATAGCAAGATGTATTGTCTTATTATCAAAATAGTATTTATTACTCACACATTTCTAAAGCAATAACCTGTTATGACTTTTTAACTCATTGAGTAGAAAGCTGAATATTTACTGACATTTCTTGAAAACCTGCAACCCGCCTGCAGGAAAGAATTTGACATCATCACACTGTGTTTTCCTTAACTTGACAGGAAGTCAACTTCAAGCAGATTGACTTGAAGCAGGATCTCATTTGGGAAGCGTAAGTGTCCAATAAAAACTGTGTGTTTTTTTAAAATTTGGAAAATACTCAAGTTCCAGTTGCTTATAATTCTCCTCCACTTTCTGAAAACCTGGCAATCCCATGTGGACTTCTGGTAGAATGAGCAATGCAAAGAACTGGCTTGGACTTGGCATGTCCTTGTACTTCTGGGGACTGATGGACCTTACGACCACCGTTCTCTCGGGTACCCCAACACCACAAGGTGAATTAGAAGCACTCCTGTCAGACAAGCCACAGTCACATCAGCGGTCCAAAAGGAGCTGGGTTTGGAACCAGTTTTTCGTTCTGGAAGAGTACACTGGGACTGACCCTTTGTATGTCGGCAAGGTAAGAAATGCCAAGTAGAAATGACCCAGGTATTGGATATTGAAACTGAGTATGAATTAAATATGAAAGTTCACCTAGCCTGTATCTGAGGCCTGAGAGAAACTGGAACAAGTGGTACATTACTTGACACCTAGCTAAAATGTAACTTCCGCTTTGTCAGATACCAGTCAGAAAGGAAAAATTTAATGGGAAAAACTGGGAACTGGGATTTGGAAGAAAAGGCTCAGACCCTGCAAGAGCTATTCAGGTCCTAAAAGAGGCAGCAGTTGTTGTCTGGGAATGATAGAATGGGGAAGAGAGAAATTTGGAAATGCAAGAAGAGTACAGGGTTTTTTGCTTTGTGTTTTTGTGGGGTTTTTTCAGAGCATTTCCAGAGGTATTGCCTGAGGTGCAAATTTAATGAAAAAAATAAAAACAAAACATTTTTCATTTCAGAAGATCTTAGCATGTGCTTTAGGATAGCTGGAGACAATAAATATATTTATAAATGTTGTATTTGAATTCTCTTGATTTAATCTATCATTATTTCATCTTTAATCCTGAATTCTTCCTATGTTTACTTTATTGGGGTGTTAATTACAGACTATTTTGTGAAAGCAACCAAGTGAGAGAGAATGGGAGACAAGGAACTGATTAGAAAATAAATAATTCATTCAAATGGTAACTTAAACACTTGTTTAGCACAGAGGCTGGGAGCATGGGTTTCAGATTCAAACACAGGTGAGTTCAAAGCCCAGTCCTGCAATTATTTCTAGAGTGACTTTGGACAGGTCACCAAGCCCTGCTCACCTCAGCTTCCTCAAATTTGAATGACGAGGATGAGAGAACTGCTCCTTCTCAAGTGTTGTCTACCCAAGCTCTTTCACCAGTGTCCACTTACTTCTTAACCCAGGTATATGGCTTCAGTCCCCACCACTGACCCACAGCTGTGTTTTCATTATTTCTCAAGACCTCCCTACTGCCCAATCCAATGGCTTCATTTTATGACACCTCCCAGTCACAACCTCAGACACTGATGACCTGTCTCCCCTTGACTCATTGTCCTCTCTGTGCCATGACCTTCACAATCCCGTTTTTCCTTCTTTTGTCTCAGCCGTGTCTGTGGGTCCTCTCCTTCCACCTGACCCCAATTGTTGGTGGGCTTGTCAGCTTCACCCCAGCCTCTTCTCCACACGCTCATTCCCTGGGTGAACTCGCCACCTCTGCAGTTTTGAATGCCATGTCTATGCCAGTGAATGCAAAACCTATCTCTGGCTTAGACCACTTCGGGTTATAAATCCTACTGCATATGTGACATCTCCACAATTTTCACTCATAGGCCTTTCCAGTGCAGTGTGTCCAGTAAGAAACTCTTTTTTTCTCCTAAACACAGTCTGCCCCATCACCCATCCATCACCTAGTTCCTAAAACCAGAGACCCAGGGATCATTCCTCCCTTTCCCCTGCACGCACATTCTCTCCCTCTGCAAATTCTGCTAGTCCTATGCCAGAATCAACCCCAAATCCTGCATTTCTCTTATCCCTGCTTCCACCATCATCTGTCACCTGGGCAAACATCTAGCCTCCCAACCAGTCTCCTCATGTCCACCTGCACCTCCCTCCCATCTGTTCTCCACCATGGTCTGTTTAAAATTTAAGTCAGATCATGTCACTCCTCTACTTACTCCTCCCCACTGTTTTCCCACTGTGCGCTGAATCCTCCAGACACCGCCCCACAGCTTACAAGACCACTCCTTTCTGGATCAACCTGCCTCCTGGCACCCACCCACGGCCCATGCTACTATCCCTCATTCTCATGTTGCAGGGGTATGACCTTCGGGACTTTATGCAACCTGGCAAGCACTGCCTTTATTGCTCCCCTCATAATGAAATGCCCTTCCGCTGGCTTCTCTCATGCCTTCCTTGACCACTCTCTAAGGCAAGCCCCTCTGTTAGACTCTCTTTCACAGCCCTAATCACAACCACCATATTTGATTTGTTTTTTTATTTACATGTTTATTGTCTGAAGCCTCTGACTAAAACTAGAAGCTCAGTGAAAGCAAGAACATTGCTCCTATTTTATCCCCAAGGCCTAACACAGCATTTATCTTGTAGAAGGTGCTCAAGATGATATTTAATAAATGAAGGTCTCACTGGGTAGTAAGGATTAAGTAAGCTAACGCATGTAAAGCACTTTGCACAGTACTCAATCCAGAGTAAAATTTTAATTTTCCTTCACCTGTAGTAGTAAATAGTACTAGAGTAGCGAGAGTATTAATAGTGATAACAGTAACAGTAGTTTAAGGAGTTCATTACGGGAACTCAACAGTTCAGTAATACCTAACGCAGCTGCAAATCCCTTGGCCTCAAAACCTGTGAGTTTTTGTTGACTTCTCCTTTCCTTATCTCCTTTATCCTTCACATGCAATCGGTCCCCATATCTGCCAATATTTCCCTGCCAGTTTCTCTCGGATGCATCTCCTCCTCTGTAGGCTCTGTCATGACCATGATCCTTTGTTCTTCCTGATTAGATTAACTAAGCCGGTGCTGCCTGTCTTCCTGTAGAGAGACTCTTCCCGTCCCTCCTCCAGGGTGCTCAGCACATTCCTCTCCCTGAAGCACCCTTTCCATCATGTTGCTCCTCTGATTAAGAAAGCACTGTAGCTCTTGAATGCTATGAGAGCTCCTAGCATACAGTTCAAGGACTTCCTCCTCCCTCACTCAGCCCTCTCGCACAATTTCGCAAATCAGGTCCCCATCCCAATCGAGCTGGATCTCCTTAACTTGTTCTGCCACACATACCACGTTTGTCCCTGACCCACACATGTGCCCACGCTGCTGCTCTGCCCAGGACAGGCCCTGACTTCTGCTCATCAGGCCACATTCAATTTCTCAAAGTTTTAGCTTAAAATCAGACAATTCTATCATGAACACATATTGCACCTACTCAGAATTCCAAAGACTTCTAGCTTCTCCATATCTATATAACATTTCTTCCAAATAGACATACATGGCCACTGCTAAGTTCAAGAAAAGAGTATGTTTGTATTCAGCAATTTTCAGTAATTACTTATGTGCACATACAATTTAGGGCTCTTCCCTCCTCCCAAGGGTAGAAATTGAGACGCCACTCCCCAACTTTGTCCATACCTCCCTGACGCTGAGTACTTGGCACAGAACTGGCCACAAAGAGCGCAGAAGAAAAAGGTAGCTAACGTTTTATTGGACTACCACAGTACTATGTGTCGGTCACATTCACATCAAAGCAGATCATTTAATCATTATAACAATGCTGTGAGGTGAGTATAACACAGGGAACTAGGCTCAGAGAGGTTATTCACGTTCATTACCCAAAGTTACACCAAAGGTAGCAGGGAAAGCCTGGGCTGAAATATACATTGCTCCTACCCCAAGGCCCTGGCTTTCCTTTACCTTGCCTTGTCTGTGGCCAGTGGCTTTAGGCTAAGCCCAGAGGATACACACAGGAGTCAGTGATGTTTAGGAGGGATCAGGAATCTGAGCCAGGCTGCTTCCTGAACCCTTTATCTCTGACGCTGGGTAGTTCTTAGCTGTGTAGCACCCTTGAGTACTCACAATTAGTGCTCACCCTTTACAAATAACCTCAACCAAGATACAAGACACCCATTCATCTCAATAGTCATCTGACCCAATCCTCACATCAGCAACCAAGCGAAGATTTTTACCCTGCATGTGTTACCTCTACATGAAGAAGATAATCATAGATTCACTTACCCAGACACTTTTCCCCTTTACTTTCTTTTGAAAGGGAATATCCACTTTCATTCTCTTTACCCAGGGGCATTCTGCTTGTCACCTTGAGCTCCGGAAGATGTCTGTTTAGAGAGCTTGCCAGACTTATTTGCTTATTTCAGAAAGAAGTATGGCAACAATTATCAGCTGTAATTGGTATGGCCTTACAAAATCCACACTGGGCTTTCCAGGGACAAGGCGGTGTCGAGTTAAAGCTAGATTATATTGACATATGCAAAGAGAGGGATGCTGAGAGCTTGTGCTTGTGCACGAATCTGTGGGTCCAAATCATGCCGAGGTTAACAACTATGCGGAAGCTGCCTGACCACAAACTGTAAGCACTCACTGCATTCTGGAAACTATTCAAGGCACTCTGAAAGATGACAAAAGGAGTGAACATCATTCTTGTTTTCGAAATCCTCAATCAGCTAAGATTCTTCAGAACCTGCTTGTACTTCCCATCACTCACTACTCCTTTGGCTGAAGATCTTAAAGACTAAAGAATGGTTAGGATAAATGAGACATTCACTTGTCTTATTCTGCCTAAAATATTTTTTTAGGAAGAAAAAAAATATTTTCCCAAGATGTACGTAACTGTGCTGCTGACTCTGCTCAGAAGCTTCTTACCTTCCTCCAAATAGCTGGTACACAGTCAGTGTTAGTCGAATTAAATATGGATAAATATAAAACACATTTTTATTACACTGCCGATTTGCTGAGTGACTTGGAGAAAAGCTGTTAATGTCTGTTCTTTGCAATTTTTGAAACCAAATGTGTATTCTATGGCTGGTAAAGCGGAATATTAAATGTGCATTGCTGCATGGGTTATTAAGCTGGTGTCTCTCAGCCCCATGCTCACCTTTCCACACTCTGCTTTGGGTACTGGGGCTGAAACTCTCCAAGTCATAATTTCTCCTCTTTCAACCAGCTCCTCTCCCAGGTAGGTTCTGACTGCCTGTAGAAAGTACTAGAGGGAGCCCAGGAGGCAGGACGAGGGAAGAGTGACCTGCTCCTCCATCACACCTACTTCTAAGAGGTCTGAATCCCAGGGAACAGGGACACCTCCTCCAAGCTCTTGAGGCCCCAGCCCAAGGGGCAGCATTCCTTCCTCAGGGGTCTCAGGCCTGGCCTCAAGGGGCTCCCCTCCAAACCCGCAGATGCCAGAATCCCCACCTCTGTCCTGTGTTGCCCCAGCCAGAGGGGCACTGGCTGTTTTTCCTGGAGTTGCGCTCTCTCTCTCTCTCTGATGCCTCCGGGCTTCCTTTTGGCCTTTCAGTCCTCCACTCCAAATGCTCCCTGCTGAAACCAGGTGCAAGTTTTGTTCCCTGACTAGACCGCGAACTGATAGGCAGGCCTATGGGCCTCAGAAACCACCTCTGTGTAAGCAGATCCTGACATGCTTCAAAGTGGAGAGCTTCCTGCTTCCCTGGGGGTGTTCTCTACCCCCTCCCTCCTCCTTTTCCCTTCCCCCGCCTTCTTCCCTCTCCCCTCCTCCCTTCCTCTCCCTCTCCTGCCCTGCTCATGTGCATACTGGCACGTGCAGATCGGCGCTCCGAACCTCCTGGAAAGGTGCTCCTAGCTCTTTTCTTTTTTTTTGAAACGGAGTCTCACTCTGTCACCCAGGCTGGAGTGCAGTGGCGCGATCTCTGCTCACTGCAAGCTCCGCCTCCCGGGTTCACGTCATTCTGCTGCCTCAGCCTCCCGAGTAGCTGGGACTACAGGCGCCCGCCACCATGCCCGGGTAATTTTTTTGTATTTTTAGTAGAGACGGGGTTTCACCTTGTTAGCCAGGATGGTCTCGATCTCCTGACCTCGTGATCCCCCCACCTCGGCCTCCCAAAGTGCTGGGATTACAGGCTTGAGCCACCGCGGCCGGCTGCTCCAGGGCTAGCACCATCCACATGGAACTTTCGCCCTCCCCCAGACCCTTCTTCCAAAACAGTTTCATTATGCACTTACAAGATGTCAGGCCACAACAAGATGAATGTCACACGGAAAGCGAAGGCCTCACACCCGAGCCTCAGCCCAGACTCCACGTGGCACCAGCGAGCTCCCAGGAGTCAGGGGCACCCTGCCCTGAGCTCTGCTGCTGTCCTTTCTTAAAATGCTTACAGCACGCTTACCTGCCGCCTGCTGGGATCAAAGGTGTGCTGAGTATTTCAAGGATCACGGAACAAAAGGTTTTATTTGATATATATTGCACCTCGGAACAGTCCTGGGGTGGCCCTTCTGTCAGCTCCTATTTTTCCTTCCCTACACAATCAGCAGTGCCCTAAATTAAACCAATTTTATTAAAACTCCTATGCCACCATGCCATAAAATTACATACATACACTGTTGTATATGTAAACATACACCTATATGCATACGTATACATTTTTTAAATTTAAAACACCTTCTGAAATCCTTGTTCTGCCCACACTTCTGTTCCTCTGCCTCAGAACACAGTTCCCAATGGAATAGATTTTTATTTCTTTGTACCCAGGTCCAAATGAAATGGCTTTCTATTCTACACAAGAGTTGGGCACCTCTACTGTTTATAACTGCATAAACAGAAGATTTGGATTGAAAAAAAAAAAGAAAGAAAAAAGAAAATACTGTATACAAAATGAGGCAATGTGAGAACTTCATATTCTAAATAAAATATGTAGAGAAAAGTCCACAACTATTTTTTCAGTCAGTTTTATTCCCTTAGTTCCCTTTTCTAGATAAGACACAGCTGAGTTCCTCCAGGCAGCAAAACCGTTGCCTGCATGATTTGGCCATGAGTCAATCTGAGTTCAGCTCAAAGCCAGCCACAGCCTCCAAACCCATCCCCGTCGGAGGCTGTTGTGGATGCATTTGCAGGTGTTTTATTGGTGATCATGCCGTTTAATCCTCAGAGTAACACTGTCTCAGCCATGCTTCAGGCGGCCTTCCGCAGCTTTTACCACGAGACTGTGCAAGACAAAAAAGCCAACAGGTTGTTTTTCCTCTCTGCCACCCTCCTGGAGGTCTGCAGGGAGCAGAGAAGAGCTGAGTGTGCTAATACCCTTTTCTCCATTCACGTGTATCATGGCTGGCCCCATTTATGGCCTTTCTATGATGGGAAAAGTACTGTGCTGGGTGTCTCCAGTGCATTAATCTCTAATGATCCCAGTGACCCTTCAGAATAAGTATTAGTGTTGTCCTCACATTTATAAGGAAATTAATGGTTATAAACATAAAATAACTCATCAAGGGCCCTGAATTTATAACTGGCCTAGACACTGTTCAGGCCAGATACATTGGACTCCCTGCCCCAGGCCTAATGCTGGCTATTTTTGAACTAATCTCATGAACTTCACCCTGGACTACACAAAGTGCTAACAACCCAGGCAACAACGGAGTGGCTGACTACATTTAACTAATTGTTTTGTTACCACCTTTAGAAAGAGACCATTACCTATAGGGTTACTCAAAATTACAGGGTTCTTGCCACCTATACATACTATCTGCAATTCAGTAGATATTATAGATGCAGAAATATGTTTATAGGCCTGAGATTTTAAAAATATAGTACTCCTGGACTCCTTTTGGGAGTTATTAAAAGTATTTTGGCTGGGTGCAGTGCCTCACACCTATAATCCCAGCACTTTGGGAGGCCGAGGTGGGTAGATCACCTGAGGTCAGGAGTTCGAGACCAGCCTGACCAATGTGGCGAAACCCCCTCTGTACTAAAAATGTAAAAACTAGCCAGGCATGGTGGTGCATGCCTGTAATCCCAGCTATTTGGGAGCCTGAGGCAGGAGAATCATTTGAACCCGGGAGGTGGAGGTTGCAGTGAGCCAAAATCATGCCACTGCACTCCAGCCTGGGCGACGGAGCGAGACTCTGTCTCCAAAAAAAAAAAAAAAAAAAAAAAAAGTATTCTGAGAGGGAATATAGCTGCATGGTCAGATAAAAGCATGTCCCTAACTCAACCATCCACATATAGATTTAAGTGACTCAGTTATGAACCCAAGAACCAGTCCCATCTAAAGGAGACACATACTGATGTAAAGAAACATAACCAGCAGTTAAATTCCATTTGACGCCTGAACCACAAGCCCAGTCCTACTGAATGAAACTACAGAACTAGGATCACAGAATGTAAGAAAGAATCCACAGAGGTCATTCACTTTTCCCACTGCAGTGCTCTTAACCTTTTTATAAACTACTTCCATCAGCTTATTAGCCAACTTGAATTGTCATAAAACTGTTTGATACTACAAAAATTATGGCAATTTCTTCATTTTAACATGTTTAGGCTTATCCATTTTATTTTACTTTTATTTTTCTTAAATGGAAAGGTAGGATTCCTCCTTATGAAACTTGTTCTTATTCTAACATTGGGGATCTTCATTTTCCAGAGTTCCTGTTTTCTATACTTAATGGGGAGAATAATTTCGTTTAAATAATGGTAAGTTCAGGATACAGAATGTGTCATGGAAAATTTTACTTATTCATCAACCTACATCCACTCCTTGACACAATCGTGTCCAATGCATACTAGTTCTTTGTAGACAGACTTATTAAACATTTGAGTTAAAAAAAAAAAAATCTCCTTATGTAAAGGGAGGTTATAAGTTTGTAACAAATTGAAAATCAATGTGTTTTCTGTTGACATCCATGATGAGAATTAGGTGCTTTCCTCTCCCAGCTTCATTCAGATATGGACAGGGGAGATGGATCCATCAAATACATCCTCTCGGGAGAAGGTGCTGGCATCGTATTTACCATCGACGACACCACAGGAGACATCCATGCCATTCAGAGACTCGATCGAGAGGAAAGAGCCCAGTATACTTTAAGGGCTCAAGCCCTAGACAGGCGGACGGGCAGGCCCATGGAGCCAGAGTCGGAGTTCATCATCAAAATTCAAGACATCAATGACAACGAGCCCAAGTTCCTGGATGGACCTTATGTCGCCACTGTGCCAGAAATGTCCCCAGTGGGTAAGGTAGTGACTCACTGATTTTCACAAACAGCACATCCTATACACACATACACACACGCACATACCCACACACACGTAGGTACACATATATTCAGAACAGGAGAGCATGACAGGACCAGCTCACAAATTATAAAGCAACCAAAAATGACGACCAAGCCCTGTGGCTGGCAGGAAGCTACTTAAACACTGGAATCAAACAGAGCAAGTAACAATAATAATAAGCCTATTATTGTTTGTTAGTTCTGATTCTTTAAAAACAAAATATTAGCTAGACAGATAAATCAATAAATGGTTGAAAAATATTTGTTTCATAAGGGAGAAATGTTTTGTTGTTATCAAAAGAGCAATAGGGCTGGGCACAGTGGCTCATGCCTATAATCCCAAAACTTTGGGAGGCCGAGGCAGGTGGACCACAAGGTCAGGAGACCCTGGCCAAAATGGTGAAACTCCATCTCTACTAAATACCCTGTCTCTATTAAAATACCAAAAAATTAGCCTGGTGTGGTGGTGCACACCTGTAGTCCCAGCTACTGAGCAGGCTGAGGCGGGGGAATCACTTGAACCCAGGAGATAGAGATTTCAGTGAGCTGAGATCGTGCGCCACTGCACTCCAGCCTGGTGACAGAGTGAGACTCCATCTAAAAAAAAAAAAAAGCAATGAAGAGCCCAAAGGCTGTGTTCTTACCAGTCATTCAGAATTTAAAGCACAAATAACTCTCATCCCTACTAAACAGGTACAAGGTAAGAGCTATGGAAGCTTGACCTAGAAGGGGACTCTCGCAATGAAGCAAACACATTTGCAAATGCTTTAAGATGGACCGTTCGGGATTGCATCCAGCCTTTAGTTATTACACTTGAACAGGTTTCTACTTCTCTTCCCCAGGTACCTCTGTCATCCAAGTGACAGCCACGGATGCAGATGACCCGACCTACGGCAACAGCGCCCGGGTGGTGTACAGCATTCTTCAGGGCCAGCCATATTTTTCTGTGGACTCTAAAACAGGTATCTGATGCAAGGGTCGAGTCAGTGGTGTTTATTCCCTGATAATTTATAACTACTGCTATGACAGACCCAACTCTCCTTTCCAAGGACTCTCCAGGGAGCGTATTAACCAGAGAAGATTGCTATAAGCTTTAGGATTAAGAGAGCAAACTAGCACTGCCCTGATGGGTAAGAGCAGTGCTATGCATAGACAATGGGCAGTATCTACATGGAGAGGCAAAAAGCCCCTTTGCGTACACACACAAAGTAGCTCCCCACTAGGCCTTCAAAAAATCCTATGGTTATATTTATTCCCGGGGACTAAGGTCTTTTATAACCCCATGAAGACCCAAGAGGATTGATACATTCATCTGGGTCATTAGAGAAATAGAAGCATTGATTGTGAAACTGGAAAGAGCCTTGGGGGAATCATCCAGTCTGTCACCATTTGCTTAACAGATAAAGCAATCGGGAAACAGAGCTACTAAAGCTCATCTAGTGTAGAGAGGCCTCTTGACACGTGGTCTGATGTTCTTTCTATTGAACCAACCACTGTGCACTCAGCAGCGAAGTCCAAAATGAATGGTTGCTGGGGTAGACAGGTTTTGATGAGGGAGGAAAGACCATGTGGGATGTGGCCCCCAAAAGGCAGGTCCTGATTGGGAAGCTCTCACAGGGAGGACATCAGAGAGAACTGAATGGGTGAGGAGCAATGTGGCAGAAAATGACAAACAGAAGTTTGGTGTTTTGTTTGCTTATTTATTTCTGTCTTACCCAACAGCTTTGGCTACAGAATTTATGTTTGGATGTATGAAAGATTTCATTTAATATGTTTGAGCTTGGCAAAGTTATTGTGATGTCATTATTTTATACTTGTGCCAAGCTTCCCCTATTACTTTCATAAATGATGCCATAGTTGAACTTCCCAATAATCTTGTAAACTAGCAAAAGATATAGGAAGCATTATTACTTCCATTTTATATGAGGGTAAACATGGGACCTAGGAGTGATTAACAAGTAACCTGAGTAAAGAAACAGCCACAGAATAAAGTTAATGGTGAACACTCAAAGTCACCTCTTTATTTGAAAAAGAAAAAATACATTTCTATTATTAGCAACCTGATCGAATTTTTTTCCCAGAAGTCCTGAGGGAAACCAGACATTCAGAAAACTGTATCATAAAAGTAGTAAGGGAGTGTAAATTAGGAGGAGGAAAGAAAAAAGACTGCAGTTAGGGACTTCTATAAAACAGTAACTTTAACAATTCTACTAAGGGCAAGGGGGAGAATGAAGAGATGAAGGGTGCCCACAGGGAGGAAAAATACAGGGAGGAAGAGGGTAATGTGTCCTTTATATCCTAAGAAGAGTCTTACATTATTTTGACAGCTCCCAGGGGCATCTGTAGTGTTAAGGTCAAAAATACATGAACAGATAGTTATTGCTGTGCCCATGGGGGGCCTTTTAAAAAAGAAAATGCTGCATATACCACTTGAGAATGTTATTACTATAAGGCAATATATACATTATAGGAGTAAACTGGGTGGATTATTATTCCCAATCCCTTCCATTTTCATGCAAAAGGTCTACCTAGCCAAGAGTCATGTTGTAAGGCTGTAATAAATAAGTCTTTAATCTTTGCCTAGAGTGTATAGAAGTCAACTTTTTTAAGCTGAAGTGTTAAAGGGGAGATAAAACATTACTGTACAGGCGTGGCAGGATCACAACACATTTCAACGGATTGTGGTGTAGGCCCCTCTTCTTAAGTGAAACCGTATCTGCTGCTTGCTGTCTGGGGAAGTTCATCTCTTATGCATGGTAAAAATAAACAGCTCACAGAGCATCTTTCATATCCTAGCTCACAGAATTCAGTAAAGCACAGAGGTAAACAGAAGAATATCACAAAACAGAATGAATATGTAACAACAGGAAAATCCAATTAGAATTCCAACCCTGCTTACAGGTAGTAGGGAGGCAAGAAAATGCAGGAATGAGTTACCTAAAGAAGAGCCATTCACACAACAAGGGCTCTAGGGGCTGAAGAAACTGAAGGAGAATTATCTAAATTCACAGATTTGTAGACATATGAGGCTTTGTTTTCTGGACCCAAAGACCCCAGTTTTCCTTGGTGAGACAGAGCTGTCAGAAATCGCCTTGGACTGCAATTTCCCAGATCTGTAAGAGAAACACTGCTGCCACCTCCTGTTCACTTTCAGTAATGCTGCCAGAAGAAACCAGCCCTCTGAGCTCTTCCTTCTGGAATAAAACAGTTTTCATTCACCACTGATTTCAGTACAGCCCATTTTTGAAGTTGAGATTTCTTACCTCAAATTTAAAAGCACAGGTGACTTGCACCTCACTTCTAGGCATTAACAGTGTACCAGGGAGACACCTAGAAACCAGTCTTTAAAAACTGGTCCTGTGGTTTTATTTTCAAAAACAAAGTCATTTCTATCCTGCAGGTGTAATTAGGACAGCGCTCATGAACATGGACAGAGAAGCCAAAGAATACTACGAAGTGATTATCCAAGCCAAGGACATGGGAGGGCAGCTTGGAGGATTAGCTGGGACCACAACAGTCAACATCACCCTCTCAGATGTCAATGACAACCCACCCCGCTTTCCCCAGAGTGAGTACCTAACCCAAGAGAGCACAGACCGCGGGCCCAGAGATGACAGAGGTGCAGAAGAAAGGCCAGTTTGAGTTTCCTCATTAAGTTCAATTATCCATAGATTACTTTCTTACATTCATCATGCAATTCTCGCATAACTATTTCCCTTCAGGGTTCCAGCTTCCCATAGTACTAAACCAGGATTTCTCAAACATTTTGTTTCCATTTTCTCCTCCCTGTGGAATCTTTTTACTTTCTTTCCTGATTTCCATGCCCACCCACCCTACATAAAATGCAATACTAAGGAATAAGGTTTGTTGGGTAGAACTGACCTTCAGTGGGCCACAAACTAGCAATAGCTAAGATTTTTTTCATCACACCCCTGCAAACCTATTTTTGCCCCCAGGGGGCAATACTGATCCATCGAGAACGTATTCACTGATAGCCAAAGCTGTAGATGGACACATCTGCCCATGTGACAATCTTCACCAATCATTCCAGTAGGTACCAAGCACTTATTTGGTGAGAGCACAGGGCGTGAAGAGCACAAGAGGCTTAGAACTCAGTCCCTGCCCTTGTGAAGCTTCAAATCCACTTGGGAGGACACATTCTACACACAGGAAAATTAACCCATAGTGGCACTTGGTGCCACTTGAATAGTGCAAAATGATGCCTTCCTATAAACTGAGAAGAATGAAGCCTCCACAGAAGGATGAGATTTCAACAGGGGGCTAAAGAACATAGCAGGTTTATATAGGCAGAAAAGAAAACATTCCAGAAGGGGAAGTCATTCATTTATTCATTCATTCAAAAAATATTTACTCCAGGCCCTACTCTACAAATGAATCACAAAGCCGTGTACAGACAAAACAAGGTCTCTATCGTCTTGGAGCTCATTGGAGTAAAAACCTGCATGGAGGAAAAAACATCCTGACTGGAAATAAGTTTTCAATGTCATTCTATGTTCAAAGACTCCTAAAATTAAAACTGGCTCCTGCAAATGTGCTGTATCTTTAGTGGAGGCCATAGAAAAGTTTTTGAGCAAGAGGGAGACATAAAGAAAGGCTAATTTGGTAGCCATGTAGAGGAGGGGTTGGCAAGGCAGAGACTAGGAGCAGGGGAGTCGGTTAGGAGACATTTAGAGTGGTCCAGACTTGAACTGCTAAGGACTTAAGGAAGTAGCAGGAGGAGTGGAATGGGACAAATAAGAAAACATGGACTTCTGCCTCTTGATTTCCTGACTAAGGGAACCTTGGCAAAGGGTGGAGTCAAAGATGACAACAATGTTTTCACTCTGGATGACAGGGAGAAGGATTGTACTACTAATAAAAATAGAGGATGCATAATGGAACGAGTGGTAGTGTAGGAGGGAGACAAATTCAGATTTGAATATGAAGTGACAGCAGGACAATCAGGTTGAATGTCCTTAAGGAAAGTGGAAATACAGAGCTATGACCGTGGAACAGAGCCCAGGAACGGAGACGTGCGTTTGAGAAGCAGATGCCTGAAGGAAGCAGCAGGAGAAATGAGAGCAGGAAGTGCAAATCCAGGTGAAACACTTAGCTAGGGAAATGGAGCTCTAAAAAAAACTAAAAAGAGAAAGAGTCTAGCCAGACTAGCCAGACTGTCAGATGAATAGTTGCATTCTGAATCAGTCAGACCAAGTGAACCTTCCTTTGTATCTATGTAAACACAGGAGAGCTCAAATATTTACACGTAAACGGAATATACAAAGTCCCATAAGCATTCATGATGGAAAAAGCAGGATATTAGATAAGCATTTCACAAAGGGTGCAAGTGAGTAAGTTCCTAAGTTGCTTGGTCTGACAGTACAGAATACGAGAGCATCACAGAACAGTTTGTGAAATGCCACATGGATGGACTTTGTGTTGCTTTAGTGATCCTGTGGGTTCCATCTTCATTACTTCATGAAGGGCTCATATTACTCACACTACAGACTATAAATTCTTGAACACCCTTGAACTATTTGGCTTTTTACATTTGACACTAGACAGGTGTCTCTGATGGAGGCAGAAGGGACAGTACAACCAGCTTATTACATAGCTCAGGTTATTACATAGCTCAAAGGTAGATGGATTCTGACATATTGCCAGGAGTCATGTTACCCCAAACACGGCAGCTTCACAATAGCAGAACACAATACAAGGATTACTGGGGTTTTAGCCTTGCCTCCCAAACCAAGATCTTTTTTTTGTTTTTCTGAGACAGGGTCTTGCTCTGTCACCCAAGCTGGACTGCAGTGGTGCAATCACAGCTCACTGTAGCCTCAACCCCCAGGATCAAGCAATCCTCCCACCTCAGCTCCTGAATAGCCAGAACGACAGGTGCACACCACCATGACCAGCTAATTTTTGTATTTTTTGTAGAGATGGGATTTTGTCATGTTGCCCAGGCTGGTCTTGAACTCTTGGGCTTAAATCATCTGCCTTCCTCAGGTTCCCAAGGTGCTGATAATACAGGCATGAGCCACCACACCCAGCCCCAACATCCTAACGCCATTCTAAAGTACACATTTTAAGTTATCACTTTTTCAAAATATAGTTTTAAGGGAGACTCTAGGATAGAGTGGAAGTATGGATTATGTTTCATGGAAGACAAAACAGAAATGTAAAAAATTTAAATCTCTGTGTCTCTATGCATTCTACACACATTATCGCTGCTTCCTCCTTTTTGACCTTTTAAAACTTTGCATTCTCTCTTCATTAAATAGTTCCCCATCTATTTGCTAAAACTAAGTTTGGATGACCTTGATATTCCGTAAACCTATCTTGGCTATACTCTTATGCCTAATTAATCTAATGAGTCCTCATTGCAGGAATTCCATTTTGCTTCTTTTTCACAAATATTACTATAACTGATTATGGAATGTTGACAAAATGACACACCTACTATTTTACATTGAACAAGCTCAGTCACCTTTAATAGACCCAAATATAATGAAACATCAAGATCTCAAGCTATTTATTTATAATATAATGTATCATGTTGATGCTTAAACATATAACATAGCTTGATTGGGATGACGAACATTGTAGGCAGATGCTTGTTTTTCCCAAAAGTTCTGCAACAGCAAAGTGTAATCCATCAACAACTTTGGAAGTAAATGGAAAGAGATCATGAAATCCAATTGCCTGCCAGCTTAATACAAACTTTAAAGATTTCCTGGCTCATATTTGTAAAGAACAGGCATCATTTCTTCTCCTGTGCAAGGCAGGGTGCTGTGAGCTGGCTGGGTGCTGTCAACCTCCCTGAATCTTTGTGAAACTCAAGCCCTCACACCCGAGGCTATATCTTACAAAGCATATTAGAATAAAAGGGAACACGGACATATGGAAAATGTGATTGTGTGATTTTTCTCTGTTATTTAGTCAGTCACATTATGATTGACAAAATAACAAAGAATGTCAAAAAGCTGAGCCCCAGAAAAGGTAAGTTGGTAAAATATGAATTCATGGAGATGAAAGTGAACTAAATTTAATTGTGAGCTCAGGATGTTATGTCCAAAAGGAGATGACCAACTCTGAGAGTCTTACATATGTGAGAACCTTTTTAGTATTTTATTCTGGAAGAAAACAAGAAGCATGAAGGATCTGTCCATGGAGAGGCAGCCCGGGGCAGTCTCGGGTACAAGGACACACTGAGGGGCAGCACATGGAGTTGATGGAGCTTGCTCTCCACGGCTGCTCCCCCATTATAGATCACTGATCTCCGTGACCTCTGAGCAAGTGGTCGTAGAGACAGGCACTCAGCACACGGGCCAGGCCATGAAAGAAAAGGTGGACATTTGAAGCGAAAACAGAGTAAATACGCACTTTGTGACCACAATGTTTATCACTCTCAGAAGGAACTGCAATTTAAGGAAATACTTCAGTTCACCAGGAAGTACTAAAAGATTTGAATGCAAGGTACTTCCTACCACTCAAGCTACAGTCACTAGGACTAAGTCGTTCTGCTTTCACCCTGTTCTACTTAAGCTTTTTTGACTCCTCTTTATTGAACATCCAATACAGGCTATGGCCCGTATGACCGTCTGCTCAGCCTTTCTGGACCTTAGTTTTTATCTGTGAAAACTCAAGTTTTACGTTTTGAACCCAGAAGAAAGATATTTTGCACAGCACCCCTGATAAGATATGATAATGATGAGGCATTTTTTTATACTGACGGATTATCAAGAATGCGTGTCCTGGCTTTTCTTTGTAGAACATTACCAGATGAGTGTGTTGGAATCAGCTCCAATTAGCTCCACTGTCGGGAGAGTGTTTGCCAAGGACTTGGATGAAGGCATAAATGCAGAGATGAAATACACTATTGTGGATGGAGATGGTGCAGATGCCTTTGACATTAGCACAGATCCCAATTTCCAAGTTGGTATCATAACTGTGAAGAAGGTAATCCAATTCCTTTTTCTAAACCACTTTCATGGGTGCTTTGAATGTTTATGAAATGCTAGTAAGGACTATTGTATTACTGATATGCATTGCTTCAAATCCTCTGATAAAAGCGCTTTCCTATTATTTAAAAAAAAAAAAAAAAGAACAGAAAACCTCTTACTCCTTATGTTTACATGCAAACACTGGCTATGCCATCATTTTACTGAAAAGGTACCAGGTCATGATAAAAATATATTATAAATATATTTCTAAATACATTCCTTCTATCTAGCCACTTAAAAAACTGTTGTAGCTTAATTTTCTAATGATGTTAATGACTTGATCAATATTTGCACTTGAATAACACATGCATTGTAGCATCCCATACATACCAATAAAGCAAGCCATAATAATATTTATGAATCAATAAATAACATGCAGGCATTTTTTAATTGCTTCTCAAAGATCTGTAAATTCTAATTAAACTTGAAAAAGCTTTATCAAACATACCTGCTGAATGGCTGTTATCACTTGAAATTCCTTTGTTTTATGATAAGGTACCAAGATAAGCTACCGATTCTTTCTGTCACATAAAGCACATATGGATATACCCAGCTAGAAGATAAAACTTTTTAAAAATTGAATCTTTAACTCCCTAGCAAATATATATCTAATGAAATACATTAATTTTAAAACTCATTGATTTAACTTTCCTTCTCTATGTTGAATGCATTTTAAAACTCAATATATTTTAAATGATATACTCAACAAATATTTATTGAGTGCCGCCTATGTGCCAGATATTGTTATAGGCATTTAACACAGAGTAAGTAAAACAACCAAAAATCTCTGCCCTCATGGAGTTTACATTCTAGCAAGGGAAGAAGACAATCAAAACATCAAGTCACTAAAGTAGTTTATTAGAAGGCAATAATTAGGCCAGGCGTGGTGGCTCAAGCCTGTAATCCCAGCACTTTGGAAGGCCGAGACGGGCGGATCACGAGGTCAGGAGATCGAGACCATCCTGGCTAACATGGTGAAACCCCGTCGCTACTAAAAAGTACAAAAAACTAGCCGGGCGAGGTGGCGGGCGCCTGTAGTCCCAGCTACTCGGGAGGCTGAGGCAGGAGAATGGTGCGAACCCGGGAGGCGGAGCTTGCAGTGAGCCGAGATTGCACCACTGCACTCCAGCCTGGACGACAGAGCAAGACTCCGTCTCAAAAAAATAAAATAAAATAAAATAAAAAATTTTTAAAAAAGAAGGTAATAATTGATATGGGGGGGGAGCAGAATAAAACAAAGTAAGTGAGGCCAGGAAAGCTAAGATGGTTTCCAATTTAAACTGGATGGTTGGCTAAATGCCCACCAATCAAAGAGTGGATTAAAAAAACTGTGGTAAATATATATGATGGAATACTACACAGCCATAAAAAGGAATGGACTAACAGCATTTTCAATGACCTGGATGACATTGGAGACTTTTTTTTTTTCCTCCTTTTTTGAGATGCAGTCTTGCTTTGTCACCCAGGCTGGAGTACAGTAGCGCAATCTCAGCTCACTGCAACCTCCGCCTCCCAGGTTCAAGTAATTCTCCTGCCTCAGCCTCCCAAGTAGCTGGGACTATGGGTGCAGACTGCCATGCACGGCTAACTTTTTCTATTTTAGTAGAGACAGGGTTTCACCATGTTGCCCAGGCTGGTCGAGAACTCCTGAGCTCAGGTAATCTGCCTGCCTCAGCCTCCCAAAGTGCTGGGATTACAGGCATGAGCTACTGCGCCCGGCCAATTGGAGACTATTATTCTAAGTGATGTAACTCAGGAATGGAAAACCAAACATCATATGTTCTCACTGATAGGTAGGAACTAAGCTTTGAGGGCACAAAGGCATAAGAATGATACGATGCACTTTGGGGACTTGGGGGGAAGAGTGGCAGGGGGTGATGGATAAAAGACTACAAATATGGTGCAGCGTACACTGCTCAGGTGATGGGTGCACCAAAATCTCACAAATCAGCACTAAACAACTTACTCATGTAACCAAATGCCACCTGTACCCCAATAACCTATGGAAAAATAAAATTAAATAAATTGGGTGGTTGGGACTGGTATCACAGAGAAGTGGCATTTATGTAAAGACTTACAGTGAGCTGAGTCACACCACTGAGTTAAGCAGGTTGACAGTGTGGGAGGTTCACTATCAGTGACTCTTTGTGAAAAGCGCACATGGCAGTCCTAAAGAGAAGAGAATGGGCATGAACTATTGAGGAAAGTGTTCCAAGCAAAAGGACCGCCATTGCAAAGGCTCTGAGGTGGGACCATGCCTGCTGTATTTCAACAACAGCAACGGCGGGGTCATAAGGCTGAGTGGAGTGGGGGACTCTTAGGAGATGAGGCCTGAAAAGTAACAAAGGAACCAAATCATTTAGGACCATATAGGCTAACTATAAGGACTTTGGTTTTTACTCTGAGTAAAATGGGGAATGACTGAAGGATTTTTAACAGATGTATGACATGGCTGGGTTTTCATTATAAAATACTCAGTAGGCTGTGTTGAGGTGGGGGGAGTTTAAGGAGAGAAGGATGGAAAGAGGGAGACCAACTGAGAAGCTACTGCAATAATCCAGGTAAGAAATGATGACAGTTTCACCTAAGTAATGGGAATGGAGGTGATAAGAAGTGGTCAGAATCTGTACATAATTTGAAAGTAGAGCCAACAGGATTTCCTAAAAACGTGGATGAGGATATGGAAGAAAGAGAAGAGTCAACCGAGCAACAAGAAGAATGGAGTTGCCATTAACTGAGACAGGGAAGTCTGCAGGTAGAGCAGGTGGCAGGGGTGACAAGTATTGGAATTCAGTTCTGGACATACATGTGACATTTGCAGAGTCTATTAGACATCAAGTAAAGACATGTCATGGCTTTGGTTTTAAGAGTGAGGAGTTTGTAGAAGGGTTCTGGGCTGGAAATATGAATTTGGGAGTCATAAGCATATAGATGGTACTTAAAGCAAATAAAACAAATGAGATTGCAAGCGACTGAGCATAGACAGAAAGAGGACAGTGCAACGAGCCCTGAGGCACCCCAACATGAAGAGGTCAGGAGGAGTGTAAGGACAGGCAAGGAGACTGAGGGGCAACCAGGGAGGCAGGAGGAAAATGGAGGAAGTGCAGTGTTCTGAAGGCATGAAGAATGTGCTTCCAAGGGACAGAGTGATCACCTGTGACAAACGCTGCTACAGGTCAAATAAGAACATCAGGAATTCACCACAGACTTTAGGAACATGGAGGCCACTGACAACCTTGACAAAACCCACAGTTATAACATTAAAATGTAACTCAAGTTAACGTGTGTTTATAATAACCTTTTTCCTATGCTATTTGATAGAACTGAATTAATACTGCTTGAGAAGGGAATAAGGGACGAGTTCATATGTTTGTTCTGTATTTATTTAAGATGCAATCAATCACAGCAAAGGAACAGAATCACAGCAAAGGATCCAGAATTCCACCAACCAGAAATCATTCTATCCTGTACACAATGATCTTGAAACAATGCAAAAAGCTGAGATTAACTTCTAAATTATCAACTAAATCTAGATGTAATTAAAATACTATAATTTCTTATTCTCATTCTTTGAGAATATCACATGTTAGAATTATAATAGGTGATCAAAATAACAATACTATTTTGGTATACGTCACAGGTTCCCCTACTATGTGGTATGCCTCAAGTAAACAATAATACATTGCTAACCATAACTAGTAACTGTAAATAAGGGAAATGCTCAAATTTTTGAATTACTGGGTTTTTCTTCTTTTTTTTTGTTTGTTTGTTTGAGACAGGGTCTCACTCTGTCACCCAAGCTGGGGTGCAGTGGCACAATCATGGCTCACTGCAGGCTTGACTTCTTGGGCTCAAGCAATCCTTCCACCTCACCATCCTAACTAGCTGGGACTATAGGTATGTGCCACCACAGCCACCTAATTTTTGCGTTGTTGTTTGTTTGAGACAGGGTCTCTCTCTGTCGCTCAAGCTGGAGTGCAATGACATTCTCATGGCTCACTGCAGCCTGTAGTCCCAGCTACTCAGGAGCATGAGGTGGAAGGACTGCTTGAGCCCAGGAGGTCGAGGCTGCAGTGAGCCATGATCGTGCCGCAACCACCTATTTTTGCTGTTGTTGTTGTTTTGTTTTGTTGTTGTAGAGACAAGGTCTCCCTATGTTTTCCAGGCTGGTCTCAAACTCCTGAGCTCAAGCGATACTCCTGCCTCAGCCTCCCAAAGGCCTAGGATTACAGGCGTGAGCCACCGCAACCAGCTTTATTGTTTCTTTAGTACGAAAACTCTGTTCAAACAAGCAACCAGAAAAAGAACTTTGGGGGTTCTCAATATTTTAATGTAATCTTATGTCTTAAAGTAATGTCTGAGATAATTCTAAATAATAAAATAATATTTACGTCAGATTATCACAATATAGTTTAGACTTTATTACAAGCCATATGTTTTAAAAAGTCTATTAACTATAACAACTCTGTCTCTGAAAGAAATCTCAAAATGTGTTTTCTTCAGCTCCCTTACCTGCAGAAGAGATGAAGCCTCTTAAGACAGAGTACTGTTTTTCACTGTCATTACTAAAACGATATCCATGTTTAATCAAAATACATATCAATTTTGCCAAGGTCACTTTGATTTCTCTTCTGAACTTATGAGCTGCCAGAAAATGGAATTAAGAAAAGGGTCAATAAGTTGGGTAGATGGACAAATCACATATAATAAATACTTTAGAGGCCACTGACTGCTCAGTCTATGGCTTTGGAATAATATTCACTCAGATGTCTGCTCCACGCCCATCTTCCCACTTTGTCATTAATAATGTCATATAAAATTGAAACAAAAGTTATGCTTTTGATTTATTTCCCTTAGGCCTATTATTTGTCTAAGAAGCACATACTTTTTCAAAAAGAGAAATTGAGCTGAATTGATAGAATTGGGTCTTTAGGAAACCACACTAATTACTACCCA